AGTCACCTCAAGAATTACAGAAAACCACGATCTACAGAAAGCATGAGCAAACGAGGTTCTCACCAGGTCATGCCATGCTCCACAGTCCTTCTCTTGGTGGGCATTGGTCCCCATCCCCACCCCATGCCCCTCTCTCCTGAAACTGGGCTGTCCCAGAGAGGGGAGTCCACCTCAGTCTCAGCTCTTGGGAACTCCGGGTCACTCCCCCACTAGAGGCCCTGGCTTCTGGGGGAGCAGAACCAACGTATCCCTGGAGTTGGAGATGTGGAGGTGGTGGTGACAGACTGTGGCCCCTTGTGGGGACTGTTTGACCCACAAGTGTTTCAGCTGCTACCTAGTCTGGGATGGGGCACGGGTTGCTGCTAAGTGTTGGGTGAAAGGTGGCTGGCAGGTGGTCCCCAGCTCTGTACCCCCATCCCTTTCTGTTCCAGTTCAGACTCTTCCTGCCCAGTGCCAGTCTGTGGACTTGTGGACGGGCCTCCTGCCCACCCTGCATCCTCAGGATAAAGCCCCCTGCCCATGGCCTCTCGCCCACGGCCCCCACCTCCTCACGTGGTCCCCACCCTCCCAAGGCTCTGCCCAGTTGGCTTTATTTTGTAACCAGTGCTCACCAGGAAGGTCTTCCAGGCCCTGAGATATGTACAGGTGAAGGAGTCCCTGCTCCCCAGGCCCTCATTACAGAGCCAGGCCATAGGGACCCACCACCCTGAGCACTCAATGTGCCCCTGGCCGCCTCCTTCCCTCCTGGGCCTGTGAAGCTCAGGCTGCCCTCACAGCCCCTCTGTGCCCCCGGGGCAGGTGGGGAGCCCTGTAGGCCTCCTGGCTTCCCTCCCGCTCCCCAGTGAGTATGGCACCCATGGTGAGCAGCTCAGCATCTGGGGCATCTGGACCATGCCGCCTCCCGGACAGGTGGACAGAGAGCTGGACAGAGACTCTCCTGATTAGAGACCCTGTGCTGGGAACAGAGGGTGGGGGTGGGGCGGGAGGGATGTCAGAGGAGTGAAGCAGGGGTCACCCCGCCTCTACTGGCTGAGGAGCTGTTCAGTGGAAGAGGCCCTGGAAGGCTCTCGGGGGGAGGGGTCCAACACCTGAGGACCCCCTGGGGGCCCAAAGCTGGGTGCAGCCCCACACACAGCAGCCACTCCCTCCATCCCCCTTGGACAGGGCCATGAGGTGGGCGGAAGGCCCAGGACCCTCACTCCGTCAGATGGGACCCTTGGTGCTCTCAGCACTAAAGGGGCCTCTTGTCTGTCTGACCTGCTGCTTCTGGGTGTTTAGTGGAGTTGGGGAAGGAGAGGAGGGTGGTGGGAGGTGTGGGGACAGGACACGGAGTGGGGGTGGGACACGAGGGGGGAGGAGCCAACCCCTGAGGAGCAGGGAGTTTAGCAGAGCAAAGGCAGGGGCAGCCGCCCTCCCAGACAGGCGTTGGGGATTATAGATTATAGCTGGCACCATTTGCATATCAGAATTTTAAACAGCCAGCCTCTCCAGCAAACAAGGTCATTTCAAAGATAAAACTACTGAGTTCTCCCTCTTCCTGCTGCCTGCCCCCTTTCCCTTTGAACTGGGCTGAAGGCTCAGGCCAGGACAGCTCCAGGTCAACGTCCCCTTCTGCAGCCCTGGGGGTGCCCTCCCCACTGCGGGCTGTGACCCCCTTCCCACAGAGGACGGGGTGAGTCCCCTGCTCTGCCCTGTCTACTCGTCCACTTTCCCATGGCAGAGAGGGACCCTCCTCTGCTCAGATCCCACTTCCACCCCTCTCCCTTGGGACCAGGTCCCACCCACCTGACCCCTCCCTGATGCTTCTTCCCCTCAGGCCCTAGGGCCTCCTTGCTGGGCCCTGATCCCACCTCTGAGCCTTTGCATGGGCTGTGCCCTCGGCCTGGTACCCTCCCCTCCCACATGCTCTCAGCGCTGCCTGCCCTGCTGGGACCCCGGGTCACTTTCTAGAACCCTGTATTTCCCACACACCCCACAGTGCACGCTGGTATTGCCTGAGCTCCATGAGGGTGAACATCACTGGCACAACCAGCCTTCCTCCAGCACTCATTCAGGGTGCCTCTGCTCCAGCCCCCTCCCATCCCTGGTGGTTCAGAGGAGGAGGTGACAATGCAGAGGCCACACTGTGGTGTCACTGCAGAGCTGGGCCTCAAACCCAGCTGGGACCCTGGGCTCTGATCTACAGGAGATCTGGCTCCAGGGTAGCCAGGCATCTGGGTGAGAGGTGGGTGTGGCACCTGCGGGGCCGAGGTGACCGCCACCGGCAGGGGAGCGAAAGGCGCTGCTCCCAGCTCCTCAGCCACACAGCTCGGCTGGCCCAAGAGCAGAGTTCTGGTTGTCTCGGACCGTGGCTCCTCCCATTGAGCCTGAGACACTGCCAGGCATGGATGACAGCCCGAACCTGACGCGGAGGCCTGGTGCTGGCTCTGTGACAGGCAAGGCTCTCCCCTCACAGCCCCCTTGAGCGGCTGGCACTCCCCTTAGCTCTCTTGGACTCATGAGGAAACTGAGGCCCGGAGGGACAAGCGACCTGCCCATAGTCACTCCGCAAAGTGTAGACCCAGGCTGGGCAGGCTGACTCGAGGTTGGTGCTGCTGCTCTCAGACAGTCTGGGGGTCCCACTTGAAGCAAGCTGCCAGCCGCTGATACAGCTCGTAACTTTAGAAAATGAAAACAAACACCCTGAACTCCTCCTCAGCCTGACTTTGGTGCTCTGGAGTCCCAGGTATCTGCCAGTGGTAGGAAGAAACAAGGGCAGGGTGCAATGGGTCTGCGGATGACAGGATGGGGAGGGGGACCTCACTGGTATTTGCAGTGTGTGTGGAGGTCCTCCTGGGAGGAGAGGGGTGGGAGGCCTCCCTTCTGCCCAGTGCCATGGGCTGCCTCCCGGGGGTCCTTCTGGCAGTCTGCTCAGAGTCCTGACCACTGGAAGCAGAGCAATGACAGTGCCCCCGCCATGCAGCTGCAGAGAGGGGCCCTGGGTCCCAACCTGCAGATGGCAGCCAGCAGGGGCTGCAGCACGGGTGCCGAGGCCTGCGCTCTGTGAGGTGACCAGCTCCCACCCTCATGCAGGCCAGGTAGGAAACCAAGGCTTGGGCCCAGTCACTTGCCCAAAGCCAGACGGTGTAGGGTGCACTGTGGTCTAAGCTGCCAACCCCACCCCAGAGGGGACAGGTGGCTGATGCCCACAAGCTTGCTGCTGTTGAGGGTAGCGGCTGCATTTTCCCCCATATTTGAGGTCCGGGGGCTTGCTTTAGGCTGGGGATCAAGAAACAGAGAGAGAGAGATGCTCACACACGACAGGGAGGGGGTTCAGAGAAACAGAGTATGAAAGAGAGCCCTGCATGTGCAAGGAGCAACAGGACTTGCAGGTGCAGGTGGCCAGGCACTGGCTGCACCCCTAACCTCCAGGCGGTCACCGCTGGGCAGTGCCCTTGGGGACACCAACCCAGCTGGGCCCTGACGAAGCCCTGCTGCCCCATTGCTGGCACAGGCGGCCCCTGCAAGATAAGAGCCCACTGGGCCTCTTTGGCTTCCCCGGCCGGGTGATAAGTGTGGCCTGCTTGGGGTCTGATAGGGGGTGGCTGCCATGGCGGTTGGCCAGTGGCCGCTTATCGGCCCATCGCTGCCCACTTCATATCTGTGGGAACTGATAGGGAGCCCCTCGGCCCTCAAGGATGCAAATAGCACAGGAAGCTCCTGGGTGTACCCCAGCCCTCCCTTGGGTCAGGTTCTGGTCTCCAGGGGCCTCTGCATCTCTGCGTGTGAAATGAGGACAATGGCCCAGTGCTCTGGGGACTCAGACAGGTGCAGCCTAGGGTGGTGGCTTACGCTGGCACTCACACACCCATGGCCGACTCTGGAGCCAGGCAGTGGGTCCACACCTGGTGCTGCCCCTTCCCACCTGGCGACCTCGGACAGGCCCCTTGGTCGCTCTGTGCCCCTCTGCCCTGGTGGAGACTTCCCCACACCCCAGCAAGGCAAAGCCCTCACCACGTACCTTCTTTCCACTGGTCATGAGCCTCACTTGTATCATTACACCTGTCTGCGCGCACACCTCCCAGGGAGCGTGCTCACAGGTGTCTGGTACACAGCAGGGGCTCAATAAATGCTTGCTGCATCCACAAATGTGCCTGGCATGAGCACACTGTCTCCTTTCCATCCTTCTAGTCACCAAGGACCACACTCTCCCTCCTTCACCCCAGCTCCCACGTAACAGGCCTCAACGGCCAGCTGTGCCTGCGCCTGCAGATGCAGTCCTGCGAACCTTCTCGCATGCCTCCCGGGTCCCCGAACTGAGGAACCACAGAGGCAACTGACATTCTTCCTTCCCATCAAAATGAGCCGAGTTGGGGGACCCAGAGAGAACACATATGGCAGGACCTCCAAATTCAGAATTCCAGTTGCAAATTAGAGGTGGTTATGATTATCGGCCCAAGAGCACCCTCAAAGATACTTGCTGTGGTCCAGGGCCAGGCAGTCCATAGCCACCTTCTGCCTCCCAGGAGCCTGCAGCCACCGCAGAGGCAGGGCCAGGGCCAGGGAGGGCTACTCTGTAAAAACCTGAGCACCTATATGGCTCTAAATCCCTAGCCCAGCTGGGAAGGTCCTCCACATGCACCCACCTCCCTCTTTGCCCTGGCTGTTTCTGCCTCCTGGGATGCCTTTTCCTGCCTGTACTGCCTGCTCCTGTTTCCCAGCCAGACCAGATTCAGCCTCTCGGGGATCCTCAGGACACTTCTGTCTGCCTGGGATTCAGCTCTGAGCATCAGCAAGGCTCGGTGCTTGCCTCCAGCCATACCACTGGCCCCACAGGCGGGCTGGACTTTGGAACAGGTACAGGCCCGGGCCTGATGGTTGCCACCAACCTCTCCAACCAGCAGGCCAGGCCTGTCCCACTCAAGCCGTCAGAGTGGTCAGGTCCCAGGACTCCCAGAAGACTGAGCCCTGGGACCACCCCGACAGGCAATGCTGCTGGACATGACCACAGACATGGTTACCTGGCCCGTTCCAGGAGCTGCTGGCTTCCTCCTCCATGCTCGTCTCTGGCTCCTGTCCCTCCGTTTCCTTGGGGCCTCCAGGAGATGTGGGGTGTGGTGTTGGTGGTGGGGGCGGAGGATTAGCTTCTGCAGAGAGGAGAACACCATCAGGCCCTGCCAAGCTCTGGCACTACGCTGCCTGGCCACTTGCCCCATGCTGTGGCCAGGAAGGACACTGAGGCCCAGGTGGGCGGGTGTGTGCCTAAGGTCACCCACCCCCAGGATTATTTTAAATGGGGGGGATCAGACAGCTCAGTTTTCCCTTTGGCCTTTAAAACCTCTCACCCCCCCTCATTAATTGTAGCAATAATAATTGCTATTCCAGCTGCTGTTAATAATTAGAGTGCAGGATGCCCTACCAGGCACGCCCAGGCCAGGGGCCCGCCCAGGCCAGGCATAAGCATGGGCTCCGCCTCCTGGTCTCCTCCGGGGCAGCTGGGGGCCTCTCCAGCAGGCCCTGCATCCGATTCCAGCCCAAAGGGCATATTTGCCTTCCCTGCCAGCCTGATAACCACCTCAGCCCCCAATCGATGAGCTCCCATAAAAGCCCCCCCCTCGGTGACGTCACATGCCGGCAGAGTATTAATACCCAAGATAAGGGCCATGATTAACATCAAATAAATCAATCACACAGTATAAAAGTCCTATTATTTTTGGCTATAAATCAACGTGGCTGGCATTTGAGCTCCAGCCACTGAGAGGGAGCTGTGCTGGGCCCGCCCGAGAGGCAGATATTGCTCCTGCTGCCTTATCTCGCCCATCACCACGTTATCACCGCGGCCTGTGCCAGGTGCAACCCCGGCTGTTTTTTCCAGCTCCTTCCCCACCCCACCCCCAAGCAGCCCCAGTTCCCAGATCAGATAAGGGGCTCTGGCACCCTAGGAAAGCCGCCGGGTCGAAGTCCACCAGTAACGAGCCGCTCGCCCTTTGGCAGATCAAGGCCCCCGCAAGGCCTTCCCATTAGTGCACGGCATCTAACAGTGATGGTGATGGTGATGGTGACGAGGGGCTCCTCACACACTCTTTCAGGCCCTCGGCCGCCCTGAGGGGCTCATGTCCAGTTACAGATTGGGGAACTGAGGCTCAGGAAGGGCAGGAGCATGGGCTGGGGACCAGCTTGTGGAGGGAGGCTGATGCTCCACTAAGCAATATGAGATGATGATGATGAGGAGGAGGATGATGATGGCAGAGATAATAGTGAACCAGAGCAGGAACCAGAGGCCAGGTACATGATCCTTTCACACGGTCTGGTGGTCCCTGGTGAGCTGAGGGTGATGGGAACCCTGGCCCCTGGGTGCAACTCTTGTCAGCCCAGCCTCCTCTCGCAGCATAGCCCTGGTGACACCAGAGGCCCTGCTGCTGGGAAAGGGGTGCAAAGGCCAACAGGTCTCAGAGGACGAGGCCTGTTGGGCTCCTGGGTCTGTAGTCATTCTGGGGGAGACCCTGAGGCTCTGAGACTGGGAAATGCTGGGGGTGGGGCGTCCACAGTGAGAAGGAACCTCCCTGCCAGGGACTAAGGTCTGTCCGGGGTATCAGCCTGCCTCCCTTCCCCGGCATAGCTCTCCTGCCATCTACTCTCCATCCCACCTCAGGGCCTTTGCACGACCTAGTATACCCTTCCCTGTGCACTGGCAGCATGGGTGGCTCTGCATGCCCTTTGGGTCTCTGTTCAGTGCTGCCCCACCACCCCATATCTCTCCTTCTCTCCATGCCCACCCACTTACCACCTTCCCAAATGGTCCAGTCTGGCTGTCTGCTCCATCAGACCATGGCCTGGGGTAACTTAGCCAGGGTACGCACTGTGGCACAGAATGAGAACGGGAGTAAAACTGCCAGCCACGGCCATGGTGGGGAATCCAGGGAGGTGGGAGAGAGGGAGCTGGGGCTCACTCCCCTGTCCTCCTGCCACAAGCTTTCTGTCCTCAGTTTCTTCATCTAGAAAATGGGCGGGGAGGCTGACCTCCCCCAGTGCCTCTGCCTCGGTGAGGGGTCTCCCTTCTACTGGGGATCTCTTGGGGTGTCTGGGGGTACAGCTAGTCCAACAGGCTGCCCCAGCCTTGAGGGCCCCCTGGGGACCTGTTCTGAGCAGGCCTCCTGCTGCTAGGTCAGTACACCCCTGAGTGGAGGGCTGCGCCTCCCTCCAAGACTTGTTCTCAGCTGGAGAAACTCATCCTACCTCCGCTGGGGAGACTGCCACCAGGAGGGCCCGAGAAGAGATTCTGGTGCCTGGGGTGGGGTGAGGAGCAGGTGGAGAGACAGGGGGATCAGTGTGACTCTAGACTGGGGGTCAGACCCCTGCTCAGGTGCTCAGGCTGTGTGACCCTAAGCACCTAGCAAATGGGGTGACAGGCCCTAGTAGAAGTACCTGCTGTGTGCTGAGTACCACGTGTGCTGAAGGAGGTTCCATAACCAGGTGAGGGCTTGCTGCCCAATTTCATAGAGGGTAAACTGAGGCTGGAAGGGGATATGGCTTTCCCAAGGTCACTCCGTGGCCCATATGACTTGCTAGCCAACCCTGGACTAGACCTCCCCCATCTGTACAAGAGGCTAGGCTTCTAAGACCCTCCTGTTGCAGGTGTGCATGCCTCCTCTCCCCCAGTGCCCCCAGCCCTGTGATCAGGCCCCCTGCTGGGAGTCACCCAGGTTTCTCCTGGCCCTACCGGGCACAGTTGGCCCCCAGATATACCAAGCTCAATGCTACTTCAAAAGTGTGGAAACCCAGAGGGACTGGCTCCCTCGAAGTCATAGGCGAGAATGTGAAAGGGTATGGGTGGCTCCGGGTGCCAGATCCCGGTATGCTGCACCCACTGCCCAACTCACCTGGAACAGAAGGGCTCGGTGGACTGCGCTCTGCCTTGGCCTTGGGCTCAGGCGCTGCTGCCTCCGGCTCTGGGAGGCTGATGCCTGTGGCCTGAGCCTCTTCTCCCGCCTCCATGTCTCCGAGGGAACCTGCACACATAGCCCAAGGGGAATCATGAGGTGCTGCCTCCTCACGGTGTACCCTGGCCACCCCATGGGGTCAGAGGCCATGAGAGACCAGCCATCAGTGTGGGGACTCCCTCTGGGTCCCCCAAGACTGGATGTGAAAACCTCACCCCGTATCAACCTGGCCCCTGCGACAATTCCAACGCCTGGGGGTCACGGGCCTTCCTGCCCCACCTCACCTGCTCTACAGCCTGTGCTGGCCCAATGAACCGCTCTTGCCGGGACAATGGACCCAGGCTCTGCCCTCTGCTCTGCTCCAGACCATGGGGGCAGCTATGGGGACTCTCGTGAGTCAGGGAGACCCTGGAGGTTATGTGGCCACTGTGGCCTTCCATGTCCCTCAGGTGCGCACTTCAGGGGCTTGCAGGGCCCGAGGGGACATCTGCAGCCCCTGTGGGCAAACATCTCCTGGGCCTTGCACAGTTGTTTCCCCTGCCTGGGACCCCTCCTCCAGGGAGAAGCCCGCCCTCAGGTTCCAAAGTCTGAGAGCTTCGTGAGTGTGGGCTCCAGCAGCTAGCACACAAGGCGCTCAGAGAAGCTGATTAGCTAGTAAATAGCTAATGGGATTCAGGTGGGCACACAGGTATCTGCAGTCTACCTCTGGGGCTGGAGTGCCACAGGCTTGGGGTCCCCTAATCCCAATCTCCCCAGAGGCTTTTACAGGGGGAGCCCCAGGGAGCCCACTTTACAGGTGAGAATCCAGGGGATCTGACCCAGACCAGCCCTGGGAGGGTGTCGCAGCTGGACCCCCCAGGGCCCCTGAGTGCAGGCCAGGGTTGCAGTGTTTGCTTGTTCCGAGGTCAGACAGGTGGCGCCAGTGGGCAGAGAGGACACTGGTAAGCAGGCGCCCAAACCACCTGAGCCCCTTCTGTCCGTGTCTCAGCCTGGGCCCTGAGGAAGGTTCCGGGCGCACTGCCCCCTGCCCCAATCATGGGTTCTTTTCATTTTTAAATTTGTTTTTTTTTTAGAGAAGTTTTTGGTTTTCAACAAAATTGAAAGTACAGATTCCCTACACGCCCTTTCCCCCACACGTGCATAGCCTCCTCGTTCACAGGAGGCGTTTTTTTTTTTTAAATCAAGGATGAATAGCAGGTTCTTGAATAACATCATTTACTTGTAACGTTGAAGAGATGCTGTGGCAACCTAACTCTGGTTTGGTGTCCCTCAGCCGAGGGAAACGTGGTTCCATCACACCTAGAGTCACAGAACCTGTAAGTGACGTTGAGTGAGGATTTACTGTACCTCCCCAGGTTCTCTCTCTGCAGCCATCTGCCCTGCCTCCTCCCACCATCATCAGGGAGATGACACTCGTCTCGTCACCCAGGTGTGGCATGGGGGAGGGTCCTGACTCATGAGCCCCAGCCATGGAGCTGGAGGGGGGGCTTCTGGGCCCAGGGAACTGAGCCTGAAGTATCCTGGCCCTCTTGCTGCTGAGGACGACGAGCAAGAAGAAAAGTCTAGAAGACATGGCAACATCTGTGAATTCCCACGTCAGAGGGGCCTGAAGGAGCAGAGGGGGGCTTGCTTTGACAGGAGCAGAAGGCGCCGGCAGGAAGGCCTGAGCAGGGAAGAAGGGAACGGCCCCTTCCCAAGGGCCACTGAGCTCCCGGGCCCTGGGGGCAAGCAAGCAGCTGCAGCGGGAGACTTGTTTGGTATTCACACCTCAGTGGCCGGTGGCTCCTGACCTTCTATATGCCTTGAACCCTCTGGGAATCTGATGAAATCCCGTACTTTCTCCCCAGAAAAACACAGAGAAGGACAGAAACATGTCCAGTTTCAGGGGGCTTCTCACCGAATCGCTAGTGTCCTCCATCCCGAGGCCTTACCCTCCAGCTTTGCCAGGGTTTTCCAGGGGTGGAAGGGGTTGAGTGGCTAGCTGGTGGAGGCCAATGGGTCCTGCTGATGCTTCAGTGACTGCGCAGCACATAACAACTGTGCCATCTGCCAGCATCCATCATGGGCCACAGGAGCTGGCTCAGGGCAGAGGGCCAGGGAGACCCACGAGGCTACGACAAAACGTGGTGCCGAGTTCCCAGGCTTCCTTTCAAAACCTAGCAATTTACACGGAGCAGGGAGGTGCAAAGCTGGTTCTCTTTGCATTTCAGCGCACCTCTCTGACCACAGGTGGGGGACGGCCCACTATGTACGTAGTGGAAACTGAGTTGTCTCTGGTGGGGCAGATGCCTCTCCTGACTTCCGCAGACATCTGAGGGCAGACGCTGCTCTAGAAAGTGGAGGTGCTGGGACCACTGGGCTCCATGGGGACTTCCAGACCAGCAGGGAGATAGTCAGACAATAGACAGGCCCCGAACCGGAACAGGAGAAAATTATAAACGCGTGGGGAGCGAGGGAGGCGAGTGAGAGCAACAACAGGCCAAGATGCTACCAGCAGGTCCCAGAGGGGTCGATGTTGGCACGAGGCTCACGGCTGAGAAGAGGGCAGAGGAAGTGGCTTATGCTAAGGTCCAGAATCCGGACAGGCCTCTGTGTGGTAGAGGAAGGAGGAGGGGGTAGTCAAAACTGAGGCGAGAGTAGGGCCGGCCTAGAGGCAGGGGTGGGTGGGGGGGTGGGAGGCAGGCGGCTCCTACCCCTGGAGGCCAACAGAGGGTCCACGCAGGACAGCAGGGTCATTTCCCAGCTGCAGCCCTCTGGAACTGGCTCCTGCCTCTCCAGCCTCCTCAGGACACCTCAGAGCTGTAATTACTCGGACCACACAGAACCAGCCCTAGGCTAAGCCTCCGTGCTCTCGTCCAGGTGCCCACACAGGCAGGCTCTGTGTTGGGCTGGGCACATCCCAGACCGGTCGGACTCGTGCCCCTGGGACAGGTGGGAGGCCTGACCTGCCGTAACCTCTCTCAGCTCTCACCTGGGCAGGAAAGCACTGGATGCAGTGGAGGGATCAGTCGCCGATCCCTCTCCCATGGTGTCAGCCCTCAGTGGGCACTGCCCATCACTGGCCAGCACACAGTCCTGAAGTCAGCCCCCTTTGTTGGCCCTTTTCCAGAAGCATGGTGCCTTCTGTGGCTCATTCAGAGGTAGAGGGATTGCCCAGGAGCTGCAGCCCCTCCTGCTGAATGGGCCAGTGGATTTCAGGGCCTCAATCACCTACTCTAGAGAATGGGTATGAAGCCACCTGCTTTCAGGGAATGCAGGGACCAGAGCATTGGGGTGGGGCTTCCACTCCCCTCCCCACACCTGCCAGGACCCCAGGGACAATAGCCCCCACTCTTGGTGCCTCATCAGGTGGGCCTCAGCCACCCAGGGAGGCCCTGAGCTCCTGCTGGGTCCATTTACAGGAGAACAAAGGCGTGACAATGAGCGTGAAGAAAGAGGCTGCCGGCTGAGGCAATTTATTCTAATGCCACTAATTCAGTTCCAGCACAATTAAAACAGCTCTGATAATACAGGAGACAACTGCCAACCAGCAAATCGCTACAAGCCCACAACCAGGATGCAGCGTGGCAAATTCTGCCCCACATCTGCCTCGGTGCACAGAGAGTGTGCCGCATGGCCCCCGCTTACGGCCCGGTGCCCACCCCGGTTCCACATGGGGCTTGGGGGGGAAAGCTTCTCAGCTGGCCACGGCGATTGCTGTGATGCTGTGCTTTCTTGGGTGCCCTGTGCTAGGAAAGAACCCGGATGGCCCCTGTGGGACCCTCTCTGCCCAGAGACCCCAACAGCTGAGCCAGGCCAACCCAGGGCCAGGCAGGAGGTGACCTTGCTGTGTGACCTCAGACAAGTCACTCTACCTTTCTGTGCTCAGTAACCACACAGCTCCCACCTTATAGGATGAAATGTGGCAACACCTGTATCCAAGCTTAGCTCAGGGATGGCACACAGCACGTGTGCCCCAAACAATGACTGTCATCACTGTTGGCTACTACCACGCACCAGCGGCAGAGCCTGGGAAATGGTGGGGGGATGCGCTTATGATTAAGTACCACCCTGTGCTCATTTTATAAATGTCCTTTGTGCCCCCCATGCTCCTGTAGCCGGGGCTGTAGGGGCGGTGGGGAAGGTGTGTGTGTGGGGAGGGGCTTATCATACCACCGCAGCGGGAGGAGTGGGGGCAGAGGACAGTGGGAGGGTGATGCGGATGGAGTGGTCTGGGCAGGCAGGGCGCTGATGACGGTCATGATGGGCCAAGGCGCCTCGCAAGGTGGAAATGCAAGTCACGCCCTCTTTGCAGATGAGTGAACTGAGGCCCAGCAAAGTGAACTGAACAGTTCATGGGCCTGAGTGAGAAAGCAGTGGTGGGGGGCAGGTAGGGAAGGAGCCTTCTCCACGCTTCCAGACAGTGGCCCAGGCCATGGTTCGTCTCTGCACCAGGTGTGGCCCCATGCCCCTCCTCAGCCTGCAAGTGAGCTGGAGGGAGGGCAAGGCTGGGCCCGTAGCGGGTGGGGTCAAGAGGCCGATGCCCAAAGCGAAGCATCTGTCCGGGGGGAGCCCGTGGGGGATGACAGAGGTCACCACTGGCCAGGGCAGTACTGGGCATGGCCCCCGCTGCCCACAGCCCCTCGGTTATCATGGTGAGCAGGCGCCACGCGCGACGATCTGTCTCCTGCTCATTAAGCTGGATGCCGAAATGGAAATGAAAACATAATAGCTATTTGATTGGGGGTGAGATATTTTGCATATTGGCTTGGCGCTGATAGTGGAATTTCATCAACTCCCTTTTTTCATGCTTTAAAACTGAATTATGGAGACAGGCTCTGTGCGGTGCGATGATCCCAGCTCCTTCCAGTTCCCGAAGCAGGAGTGATTGTCGACCCCCTCCTGGCTTTGATGGCAAAGCAGCTGAGGGGGTCTTTTGAATAACTGCCTTGAAGAAAGCAAGAGCTGGTAGCCGAGGGGACAAAACCCCCCGGGACGTCAGACCTCAGGTGGGCCTCCTAGGTGGGAGCAGATGGAGACGGCTGGAAGCACCGGACAGAGCCCCCATCCCTGACGCCTGTGCCTGTGTC